TGGGACCAGCTGAGTTATTCAACGCTATATTTTCCCCAAACATGATCCGCCAATCATTTCAGATTTAAGACCTCAATTTTCACTGGCTACACTGACGAAAAGAGTTCATATTAGCAGACGTCTAAAGACATTCTTAGTCATGATAGGTAGGGAAGTGAGCACTGAGGGGAGGGAGGAGGGAAGGCTGGAGAGGAACGCAGGGGTTGAGCACTGGTTGAGCACTGGTTGAGCACTAGTAGAGGCCTGCTTCCTGCTGCGGCATTAGCACCAGCAGCAGCAGGAAGCAGCGTCCACAACCCCACCGTCGTGGCTCGACACATTTCCTCACTATAAATGTACAGTATTATCCTCACTTAAGACTTAATCGAAATCTTCAGATTAGGCAAAATTGTAATTAATTTTGTCAATAAAGATGTTAATAATAATAATACTATAAATATAACTCCCGTTTGAGCAGGGTCTTCCAGCCGGTGCCAGCTGGTTATGGTGGTGGGTGTAAATGGGCCGCGAGATGTTTCACTCTCACATGTAAACTAAGCAGTTTTGGCCTGGGTGTTTTAATACAAGAAATAACTACTGAACTCTTGAATAAAATAATTTTATTTTGTTAGAAACAAATATTTAATTTACAAATTTCCCGAACTAAATTTCCGTATATAATCTTCCAGGCTTGGCGCCTTCCTTTGAGAATTATTTTGAATAAAATCTGTCACTTCTTTGTTCAAATTTGAGCTTACCGAGTGAAGTCTTTCTAATGCATACAATTTGTCGTTGTTAAATGTATATTTACTTATATCGGTAGTAATTCTAATATCAAGAATATACGGACAAGGAAATCACACGAACGTAATTTGTGTAGTTAGTAGTGTGTGTGCCTGGGGAGTACAGGGACGCAGGTTCAATCCCATCATATGATCTTAATATTTCCTCTGCATTATTGTTCATTAAGAATAATAATCTGCCAGGATGGAACCTTAGTGTAGGTTACATCCCTAGTATCACTTCCGTTCTCTCAGTTTACCGCAATTATGCTAACTCTATTTTCAATTTACTAACCATACAATAATTAAATTTAGCATTTGGTGTACTTTGCTATGTATATAATATTTTGTATTTGATCTACCATGGGGAACAGAGTGGAAAGCCTTGTCAAAGTCAAGGAAAATATTGGTACCATTTTAAACGGACGATCTGACGAATAAGAGAAAATTTGCTGGGCATGATCGCTCTATAGCAAATTCAATTTGCGAATATATTATTAAATTATTCTTTTCAAGGTGATTTTGAATTGATTTTATTATTATTTTTGCTTAAATTCTTCACCATAATTGATATTAAAATAATTGTAAGGTAACTCAAGACCAGATGCAGATAATGAGTCACAATAACGTGTCTGAAAAATGTTGACTAAACCACACACTAGACATTGAAGAGACGACGACGTTTCGGTCCGTTTCGGTCTGGACCATTATCAAGCCGATAGTGTCACTATCGACTTGATAATGGTCCAGGATGGACCGAAACGCCGTCGTCTCTTCAATGTCTAGTGTGTGGGTTGGTGAACACAAGACCAGAGCTCTGCCCTTTTCCTTAAGAATTGCCAGCCACCACGTCAGTCAAACTCCCTACAACAGGGAAACTCCGGAGATGGCTGATATATGTAAAGAAAGTTGTTAGAAGATTGCCGAGTACATTGCAGAGTTAAGAAGATTGCTTACATTCTTTTAAATCTCTAGCAAATATCTCAGAGGTTTGAAGTGTTATATTGGCTTAGAAACATCAGGTTAGGGAACTGTAGGAGCTTGTATATGTTATTTTCCACAGGTCTTCTATTCACCTGAGCTCTTAGGAGATTCGAACCGTGGACCCCACGTGTGTGAGGCCGAAGCTCTATCGACTGAGTTATTGAGTAGTCTTAATAAGGAAAGTCTTGTCTTTAGTGTTTATCCTGCGTGTAGCGTCTAGTTCTTCCCTCGTACAACACTCATGTGAAGTATTGACAGGGTTTGTGTCACTACAGCTTGATTAAACCAGCAGGCACATGAGAACCACGAGCTGGCAATGGTCCTGGAGAGAGACCCCGAGTCCTGTTGAGAGACCTGAGTACTGGTGAGAGACCTGAGTCCTGTTGAGAGACTTGAGTCCTGTTGAGAGACCTGAGTCCTGTTGAGAGACCAGAGTCCTGTTGAGAGACCTGAGTCCTGGTGAGTCCAGGAGATTTGTTTTTAATGTGATAGGCAGGCAAGAGCAGGCGACTCGTATACAAGGGTCGCTTCTCTTAAAGGTTAGAAGTATTGAGGGCACCTCGACGACACCCTCGACGACACCGCTGACACACACTGGGTGTCGCTCAGTGTTGGGGGGGGGAAGGGAGGGAGGATGGGGGGGGGGGATGACTGGACAGCCAGTTAAGGCCTCCTCAGGACAGGAAGTGATATTGGGACACACTTCCTGCTCGGAGCAGTTCTATCCGTGTCTTCGATTACAAGAAACTGTCTCTGAGTCACGTTAGTTTTCGGTTACAAAATAGTTGTAACTTAGCTCTCCTTTTCTAGTGAATTTGGGATGCGCGTTAATAATTGTGTTTACATGTTTAAATTCCACAATGAAATATGTTATTTATATGCAAAAGAGCGCAAAACTAGTGGGTTATATAACGCTAATTCTCCAATGCAAAATATAATGTTACTCTGTAATGTTCAGCCACTTGGACTGGACGGTACAGGGATGATGAGCTTCTTGCCCGGTCATCCTGGATAGTCCAGGAGCTGGAGAACAGGTTCTTCACTCCCTGCTCATTTCTCAGCTCCTGGTCCTCCTATCCCTTGCAGTCATACTGGCTTGACACTCTCTCCTGATTACTACCCCTACCTTATGACGGTAATTTCCTCATTTCCAGGGATCGTGAGTGAAGGAGGTGGCTGGCGGCCCCCTCACAGTGGTCATGGCATGGGTGAAGGAAGGAGTGAAGGAATGAGTGAAGGAAGGAGTGAAGGAGCCTCACTCACTTGTATCCCGAACTTGTTATAACTTTGGTCAAGTGTTCAAAGGTTCGCATCATTTATCTGATCGTTCGTGAAACTTTTTTAATCCGTGTTAAACTTCAGTACCATCCAAAAATGTGGCAAGTGGTAAGCTTGCTTACTAGTTCCCGTGGCGCAGTGCTAAAACACGCGCTTGGAGCTTCGCAAGCGCTTTGGTCTGGGTTCGTATCCTGGCCGGGGAGGATTTACTGGGCGTCATTCCTTAACTGCAGCCTCTGTTCATCCATCAGTCAAAGGGTACCTTATTGTTAAACGATTTGGCGGGTCGTATTCCAGAGAAAATTAGGATTAAATATTTGCCCGAAACGCTATGAGTGCTAGTGCCTTACAAGAATGTAACAACTCTTGTATATATAAATAAATAAATAAATAAATAAATAAATAAATAAATAAATAAATAAATAAATCAATCAATCAATAACTGCCATCCACACGTTGATAATAATCTACCGATAATAATTACCTTATTTATGGTGATGTGGCAGGGAACAGTGAGTAAAGATTCCCTTTATGGAGGTGATCGCTGAAGCTGTTGGTATGCACAAGTAATAACGTTATATTGAAACGTCTTAGTGCCTTACGAGTTCTGCTTAATCTTCAAATCTTCTTATGCTTAATCTTCATCTCTTGCCTGAGGTCCCCACGTTTTTACTGGGTGTATATGAGAGGTGGATGTATATGAGAGAGAGAGAGAGAGAGAGACAGAGAGAGAGAGAGAGAAAATAGCATTTTTGATTAACATTAAGAAAATAATTATAAAGATTTTTACAAGGCATTACACCAGAAGGAAGCTCACATAAGGGTTTAAATATCCGGTGAACACCTTAATTCCTCAGACTTTCTCGACGATGGTCACTGAGACCTGGTGAGGGACCCCGAGCCCTGATGTGAGTTCTGAGTAGTGGTGAGGGTTCAGAGTCCTAAATCCCGAGTCCTATAGCGAGGTACCTCAGTCCTGAGTCCAGGCTGTGAGACCTGAATCTTGTTGAAGGACCAGAGACTCTGGAGAGGTGTCAAGTGGGACTTGAAGCATGTGGAGTCACTCTGACTGTTATGTTCGTGACACCATCGATGGTGATCTGTGCTGCTCGACTTGTGCATTCGCAAGTGATGTGTTCAAGGTCTGGGAAGGACTCGCTGCTGTGTTGTTAGCCGGCGTCTTTCAAGACCTTCCTCACGTCGAGGAAGGCGCCTGACAGCTAGGTGGAGAGCGCTTCGGATTCGTAGTCCTGAGGTCCCGGGTTCCATCCCCGGTGGAGGCAGAGAGAAATGGGCAAAATGTTTCTTTCATCCTAATGGCCCCTGTTACCTAGCAGTAAATAGGTATCTGGGAGTTAGACAGCTGCTACGGGCTCCTTCATGGGAAGGGGGTGTAACAAAAAAGAGGCCTGGTCGAGGACCGGGCCGAGGGGACGCTAAGCCCCGAAATCATCTCAAGATAGTGCTTGAGGAAGGTGGGATGGGCAGACAAACCAGTGCTTGAGGAAGGTGGGATGGGCAGACACACCAGTGCTTGAGGAAGTGGCACATGTCAATGAGCCAGGAAGTGCAACATGCAAACACGTTGCCAGAGGCTTGATAACATCCTTTATCCATGTCCAAAACTATTTTAAAATTTAAGGTTTATTTGTTATATATTTACCATTAATAATGTACTTCATCAGGATCTTGTTGAAGACAGTTATAGAAAACACGAAATAGTAAATGAATGCCAAGGTTATGATGGAAACTTTGTTTACAATTAATCTATATATAACCGCGAGGTCTGCGTTATTTCGTACATATAAATAATGCTTATTATTTAATTATTCTGATGGGTCAACGTCTAAATAATAATAATGTCTTAAGACCTTATACAGCATCTTACACTTGTTTACTAACCGACCGCAGCCGGGAAATGCGACCTTGGCTTGCAGACGGACTGACTGCTGAGACCTGGCAACTGGTCATCTTAGGGGGTATATAAGGCAATGTGTATTATTGCTCCACACACACTCAGCCAAGTAGTCGGTTATCCAGCCTCACTATCTCTTCCTTAAGGTACAGTAGCAATGCTTAGTAATATTAGTAGTTCTATTACATCAATAGAGCTCTTATTGAATTATACCTAATATTTCAAGACATAGCTCAATAGACAATATATTTAAGAAATATCGGTATTTATATGAATGTTTATTTTGCAGTGATCTATCAGCCCAGTGCATCAACCCAAGATGAACTTCCTCCGTGCCTTGGTAGTGCTCCTGGTCGTGGTGGTCTCCCTGGCCACGGTCACCAACGCTAGTCCATTATTTGGTCTTTTTGGTGGTCGTCGAGGTCGAGGTGGTCGTTCACGCTCTAGGTCTTCCGGTGTCGGAACCCGGGAGGTCCCAGACCCCTACGCCTACGCCGCCCCACAATTCGCCGGTGCCTTCCCTGTATTCCCCAACTTCGTCACTGGAGTTGGTCGTTGAGACATTCCTGAGAACATCGTGTTTCTCTACGATGTACCAACTGCATAATTCACTGTGCCGTACGGTGTTCTCTTGACTGAGACTCCGACGAGGCATCAAGGCGCCAACCAGGCCGTCTTAGGCCGCCACTACATGGCACCTGGTCTAGGGGTACCTAGGCCTCCACATGCTTCACCCTGGTGAGCGTGAGTGCCAGATGGCCCCACATACCTCATCAACCTGATGAGTGTCAGTGAGTGCCAAATGGCTCCGTTTATGGAGGTACTACACCCCGAGACCAACCTTCCCCACAGGCCGGAAGAGTTGCAGAGTCGAGAGAAAAATCTTCAGATTGTCTCCTGACTGGTGACGAAATCCGACAAATTTTGGCTGTTTATTGAGTTTAGTCACGAGACGAGAGAAGTCGCCCAGTGCGAGTCTTTCGTGTGGCTCATCATCATGTGTGTTTCTGAGAGTGTTTTGCTGCGAGTACACCCAAGTCTGGCTCCCAGCTGACAGTTCACAGCTGCGAGTAGACCCAAGTCTGGCTCCCAGCTGACAGTTCACAGCTGCGAGTAGACCCAAGTCTGGCTCCAAGCTGACAGTTCACAGCTGCGAGTAGACCCAAGTCTGGCTCCCAGCTGACAGTTCACAGCTGCGAGTAGACCCAAGTCTGGCTCCAAGCTGACAGTTCACAGCTGCGAGTAGACCCAAGTCTGGCTCCCAGCTGACAGTGCAGAGCTGTGACCGGACATACGTCTGACTTCCAGCTGGCTCCTTCAAGCAATGCTTGAAATTTACTTTTATCTGTGATAATTACTTTTCTAATAACATAGAATAATAAGTTAGGCTTTGCTGTTAATAAGAAATAACACTTAATCTTGTAATCTAAATCTTGCAAATGTATAATAAATATTTTTGTACACAAATCACAAATCCCATTTTATATTTATCCTTCATAAGACCACAATAACTAGGAATATATATACAAAGAACGGTATACCCCATTACTCGTGTCGAGTATATACCCCATTAGCAGTGTCGAGTATATACCCCATTAGCAGTGTCGAGTATATACCCCATTAGCAGTGTCGAGTATATACCCCATTAGCAGTGTCGAGTATATACCCCATTAGCAGTGTCGAGTATATACCCCATTAGCAGTGTCGAGTATATACCCCATTAGCAGTGTCGAGTATATACCCCATTAGCAGTGTCGAGTATATACACTGAGAGTTTACTTTAGTTCTGCTCAATGTCTAGGACAAAAGGTATGCGTGTTGGTGGCCGTAATAACCTTCCATATGACAGAATGACCTAAAGCCAATCCAATCCACCATTGACCTTACAAGTCGAGCGCCAAATGGCTGATAAAATTTACCAAGAATGAAAGTATGTGAGCAATGTCACATACAGCTGAGTTGGGAAACAAACAATGGTGGTATGGATGATGTTCATCACGCACAAACAGGCTGGTTTGACTCACAAACCTGTCACGCACTTGTGACGCACCTGTGACTGGCATAATAGTTGGTGGCCAGACACAGCTGGGTCTGGCCACCAACTATTGGGTGGCCGTACCAGCTCGACACTCGCGCCATTTTCACAGAGGGATCTCAGCAAGCCATTAAAGTTCTTTCTGTCTTTAACAGTGTATAGGTATAGACACCCCCAGTGCTACCTTACGTTGAGGTTACCTTGAGGTGCTTCCGGGGCTTAGCGTCCCCGCGGCCCGGTCGTCGACCAGGCCTCCTGGTCGCTGGACTGATAAATACACTCAGGTCCCACCGAGACTCGAACTCGGATTGTTGGATTCAGAGTCCAAAGTGCTAACCATTATACCATGGGACACGTGCTTGAGGAAGGTGGTATGGCCAGACACACCAGTGCTTGAGGAAGGTGGGATGGGCAGACACCCCAGTGCTTGAGGAAGGTGGAATGGGCAGACACACCAGTGCTTGAGGAACATGGGATGGGCAGACACACCAGTGTTTGAGGAACATGGGATGGGCAGACACACCAGTGCTTGAGGAAGGTGGGATGGGCAGACACCCCAGTGCTTGAGGAAGGTGGGATGGGCAGACACCCCAGTGCTTGAGGAAGGTGGGATGGGCAGACACACCAGTGCTTGAGGAAGATGGGATGGGCAGACACCCCAGTGCTTGAGGAAGGTGGGATGGGCAGACACACCAGTGCTTGAGGAAGATGGGATGGGCAGACACACCAGTGCTTGAGGAAGGTGGGATGGGCAGACACACCAGTGCTTGAGGAAGGTGGGATGGGCAGACACACCAATGCTTGAGGAAAGTGGGATGGGCAGACACACCAGTGCTTGAGGAAGGTGGGATGGGCAGACACACCAGTGCTTGAGGAAGGTGGGATGGGCAGACACCCCAGTGCTTGAGGAAGGTGGGATGGGCAGACACCCCAGTGCTTGAGGAAGGTGGGATGGGCAGACACCCCAGTGCTTGAGGAAGGTGGGATGGGCAGACACACCAGTGCTTGAGGAAGGTGGGATGGGCAGACACACCAGTGCTTGAGGAAGGTGGGATGGGCAGACACACCAGTGCTTGAGGAAGTGGCACATGTCAATGAGCCAGGAAGTGCAACATGCAAACACGTTGCCAGAGGCTTGATAACATCCTTTATCAATGACCAAAACTATTTAAAAATTTAAGGTTTATTTGTTATATATTTACCATTAATAATGTACTTCATCAGGATCTTGTTGAAGACAGTTATAGAAAACAAGAAATAGTAAATGAATGCCAAGGTTATGATGGAAACTTTGTTTACAATTAATCTATATATAACCACGAGGTCTGCGTTATTTCGTACATATAAATAATTCTTATTATTTAATTATTCTGATGGGTCAACGTCTAAATAATAATGTCTTAAGACCTAATAGAGCACCTTACACTTGTTTACTAACCGACCAATTCAATTTCTTTCTTTATTATGCACCCCATACTTATCCTGTGGGCGGTGGTGTAAAGGATTACAGAGGCACATAATCGGTTCAGGAACTGGACCCTCTAGTTCGTTTAGCTAAGCAATAACAATTTTTGACGCTAGTTACAAAATTATTAATGTTATATATACATGTACACATTCTCATACATACATGTATATATATATATATACGTATACATATATACATACACATACATATTTAATCACCCACTCTAGTACACACATCAATAATATTTTGTGTCACAAGTGATTCAACAAGAGGCTCACAACAGTCACTATACATCTTTGGTGAGTCACACAGTTACTAGTCTTGCTGCACACCCACCCAACTGGGCGGCAACTTTACAGTCATGTGCATGCATTACCTACAGTAAACAAATTTTGGATACTTCGCTAAGATTTCGGGCAGCACATCATTATGAATGAAGTTCTTACACATTTCTTGGACACTATTGATGGTGTTATCTCTAAATTCCGCGATTTTTTCACATTCCATTATATAATGACGCAAAGTATGCGAATAGTTTTCCTGACAAAGTTTACATTTAGTCAAATCTACATCAGCAAATGATACAAATTCCCAGAGGTACTTGTAGCCGAACCTAAGCCTAGCAGTGGAAGAAGCTGGAAAATGCGACCTTGGCTTGCAGACGGACTGACTGCTGAGACCTGGCAACTGGTCATCTTAGGGGGTATATAAGGCAATGTGTATTATTGCTCCACACACACTCAGCCAAGTAGTCGGTTATCCAGCCTCACTATCTCTTCCTTAAGGTACAGTAGCAATGCTTAGTAATATTAGTAGTTCTATTACATCAATATAGCTCTTATTGAATTATACCTAATATTTCAAGACATAGCTCAATAGACAATATATTTAAGAAATATCGGTATTTATATGAATGTTTATTTTGCAGTGATCTATCAGCCCAGTGCATCAACCCAAGATGAACTTCCTCCGTGCCTTGGTAGTGCTCCTGGTCGTGGTGGTCTCCCTGGCCACGGTCACCAACGCTAGTCCATTATTTGGTCTTTTTGGTGGTCGTCGAGGTCGAGGTGGTCGTTCACGCTCTAGGTCTTCCGGTGTCGGAACCCGGGAGGTCCCAGACCCCTACGCCTACGCCGCCCCACAATTCGCCGGTGCCTTCCCTGTATTCCCCAACTTCGTCACTGGAGTTGGTCGTTGAGACATTCTTGAGAACATCGTGTTTCTCTACGATGTACCAACTGCATAAGTCACTGTGCCGTACGGTGTTCTCTTGACTGAGACTCCGACGAGGCATTAAGGCGCCAACCAGGCCATCTTAGGCCGCCACTACATGGCACCTGGTCTAGGGGTACCTAGGCCTCCACATGCTTCACCCTGGTGAGTGTGAGTGCCAGATGGCCCCACATACCTCATCAACCTGATGAGTGTCAGTGAGTGCCAAATGGCTCCGTTTATGGAGGTACTACACCCCGAGACCAACCTTCCCCACAGGCCGGAAGTGTTGCAGAGTCGAGAGAAAAATCTTCAGATTGTCTCCTGACTGGTGACGAAATCCGACAAATTTTGGCTGTTTATTGAGTTTAGTCACGAGACGAGAGAAGTCGCCCAGTGCGAGTCTTTCGTGTGGCTCATCATCATGTGTGTTTCTGAGAGTGTTTTGCTGCGAGTAGACCCAAGTCTGGCTCCCAGCTGACAGTTCACAGCTGCGAGTAGACCCAAGTCTGGCTCCCAGCTGACAGTTCACAGCTGCGAGTAGACCCAAGTCTGGCTCCAAGCTGACAGTTCACAGCTGCGAGTAGACCCAAGTCTGGCTCCCAGCTGACAGTGCAGAGCTGTGACCGGACATACGTCTGGCTTCCAGCTGGCTCCTTCAAGCAATGCTTGAAATTTACTTTTATCTGTGATAATTACTTTTCTAATAACATAGAATAATAAGTTAGGCTTTGCTGTTAATAAGAAATAACACTTAATCTTGTAATCTAAATCTTGCAAATGTATAATAAATATTTTTGTACACAAATCACAAATCCCATTTTATATTTATCCTTCATAAGACCACAATAGCTAGGGATATATATACAAAGAACGGTATACCCCATTAGCAGTGTCGAGTATATACCCCATTAGCAGTGTCGAGTATATACCCCATTAGCAGTGTCAAGTATATACCCCATTAGCAGTGTCGAGTATATACCCCATTACAGTGTAGAGTATATACCCCATTAGCAGTGTCGAGTATATATACTGAGAGTTTACTTTAGTTCTGCTCCATGTCTAGGACAAAAAGTATGCGTGTTGGTGGCCGTAATAACCTTCCATATGACAGAATGGCCTAAAGCCCAACTCCAATCCAATCCACCATTGACCTTACAGGTCGAGCGCCAAATGGCTGATAAAATTTACCAAGAATGAAAGTATGTGAGCAATGTCACATACAGCTGAGTTGGGAAACAAACGATGGTGGTATGGATGCTGTTGGTCACGCACAAACAGGCTGGTTTGACTCACAAACCTGTCACGCACTTGTGACGCACCTGTGACTTGCATAATAGTTGGTGGCCAGACACAGCTGGGTCTGGCCACCAACTATTGGGTGGCCGTACCAGCTCGACACTCGCGCCATTTTCACAGAGGGATCTCAGCAAGCCATTAAAGTTCTTTCTGTCTTTAACAGTGTATAGGTATAGACACCCCCAGTGCTACCTTACGTTGAGGTTACCTTGAGGTGCTTCCGGGGCTTAGCGTCCCCGCGGCCCGGTCGTCGACCAGGCCTCCTGGTCGCTGGACTGATAAATACTCAGGTCCCACCGAGACTCGAACTCGGATTGTTGGATTCAGAGTCCAAAGTGCTAACCATTACACCATGGGACACGTGCTTGAGGAAGGTGGGATGGCCAGACACACCAGTGCTTGAGGAAGGTGGGATGGGCAGACACCCCAGTGCTTGAGGAAGGTGGAATGGGCAGACACA